CTGATTCAATGCGAACCAGGCACATCGGTTTCCTATCTATTTCTCTTTTCCTTTCCAATCGTTCTGCCCGCTTTCCCGGATGACTCACGAGACGAGGATATCCGTGGCAGACTTGGACGACACGTTTACTATCTACACGATTCTTAATAGAAGCGCAAACTTATCGCAACGAAAGTTAAGTGTCTGTAAAAAAAAAAAAAAGAGAAAGAGATGATGTGTTCTTCTATTTTTCATGTTTTTAGTTTAACACATTAACTGCCGCAGTGAAAATGGACATTTCTTACGAGACGTGTTAAAGCTCTAATTATTAAGAATAGGAATAATTAATTTTCAAATTTCAAATGTCAAGCTTTTAACTTGGTACCTTACATTATTAGTATAATAACAATACTATTGAAAATAATATTTTTCTATCATTTTCTTTTAATTATTATTGGACTGCGTGTAATTTGTGATGCCGGTCATCGGTGACCCCCTATGGCATTCAACGTGTTAAGGTTGTAGTTTTTTTAAGTGGTGATTCTAGGGATCAAAATAAAATGAAAAAAGCGCCTGAAACCTGCAACCTGCCCAGCACCGACGACTGAACATCAGGTCAGCAGGCGTGGGTACAATCATAACCAAGAAGAGAAAGCCGAATGCTGCAGTACCGAGAAACAGAATAGCACGAGGTAAGTTTCTACTATTCAATGATTCTTGGTTATGACTGTACCTGCCCCTACTGACCTGACGTACAGTCGTCGCGTCGGTGCTGGGCAGGTTGCACTTTTTATTCGAATTTCTAAACGTTAATTACTGGAAAACAAAGCCGCAAACGCTATTTCGTAATTCTTGATTTTCGTCTTATTTTGATCCCTAGAATCACCCCTTAAAAAATCTCCCACCTGTTGTCGAACACCCTGTAAATGATTCGCAGCTTTACAGGTACAAATAACAGAAGCACAAAGGTGAATTCACGTAGGAAAGGTAATGCATCCTGCTGTTCCAGAGAAACAAAGACAGTTTCCAGGGAACACGATAAAATAAACAAGGGAAACCAGGGAGAGGAGTTACTTCGAATGTTCGTGGTTCTCTGAACAGGATTTCACCACCTGCCTAGCCATTTCCAGACGTTTCCGGTGTCAGCGGAAACGCTGGCAAACAGTTTACATCTTCAGACTGCTTTGGTAACGTAGCATCTCCGTTTCTAGCAGTTACAGGAAACATCGTTGAAACAGTTCCTCTTCGTTCAACGCTGCGGGCACTTTCTGCCTGTCTCCTTGTTCGCTTTTCGAAGCCGATGCCGGACGACCAACTTCCCTCGAATAAGAAGCAACGCCGAGCTTTCCGATGCGTCGTGGAATGCACTTAAGAACGACCACCGGTGAGTAGGTACAACAGGAAACTGATACCCCGAAACTTTTACCTTTCCAACGTACTCTTTGTCCACGACAGACGAGCAATTCCCTGTCTGGTTGAATTCGATGAAACTTTCAGGGAATTATCCCACGACGATGAAACGATAGAGTTTCAATTTTTTGAAATTAAATATTATTAAAATCGGTCTAGGCTGATGATATTTGTGCATAAGTTTTCTTTTTCATTATTAGTATGTAAGCAATTTCTACTTATTTCATATTCTGTGTAAAAAGGGTTTCACCCGTTTAGAAGCTAAATTAATAAAATAAATAAAATTATTACTTGATTGATTTTCATTGATTTTCTATTTCATCGTAAGTGGTTCGACTGAAACTGTGATCCAATAATGGAGAAAAAAAAAGAATTTCTCTGTCACGTTTGAATAGGTGTTGGTTAATTAAGAAATCATTAATTCCAATGTGTCTTGATATCGAGCTTTTTGATTTTACAGGCCAAGAGTTACCAAGGATACCTTCATTGGTAATGAATAATCAAAGCATGCGTCGGGCTTCCGCTAATTATTCGTCGATTGCCGACTAATTCAGCTTTATTTCACAGACCAGCGCAGTCTCAAAGCATAATTAATGTTTCAACGCGTTTGCACAAGGCTCTTATAATAATATCATACACCGCGCTCGAATATTTACGTTGCTCTCGTCGGGATCCAGGCTGTGTATACTTTTCTTGAAAACCACAAATGTCTCTCGTTGGGTAATTTCGGGCTCTTGTCTCGGGAGGACTTTGACGCAAAAATGATTTCATTAAACACAAATAATGAAATAATATTTTGATTAATCCCAAAGTTACCCTCCACAACAGAGAATACATAAAAGCTTTGAATAATAATGATAAAATGTAAAATTTGATAACGACAGTCTTCAAAGAGACAAAAATGGAAAGCGCAATTCGTCCTCCCATGCAGAGGTGCAATAAAAACTACATTTTTGGTTTTCTAGGAATAAAACGAAGCCACGCAATTTATCACAATCGTAGAGATCAACGCGCACGATTTTTTGTCGCTCTTTTTTTCGAGATGTTTCCCTATCTCGATGATCCGTTGATTTCGTTGGATTAATCTCTTGTCGATTCATCTATCGTCCGGCCAGGATCCTTTAATCGTATCCGACAACGATATTTCTGCTCCATTCCAAATCGATTCTCGTCCGTGTCGCTTGTTATTTTACGCTCCTTCGTCATAGACGAGTTTTGCCAATTTAGTTTTGCTCGTTCCACGTAAACGCAGTTTTGAGAATTCGGTTTCAAACTCGTTTTTTTTTTTTTTTTTTGCGGTTCCTGGTTTATTTTCACAAAATACGGAATATTTCATCCGTACACTCTATCCGAAGGAGAAAATGATTACAAGTATTAAGATCGTTGATATAGAGAAACACACAGTGTGAGGGGCAGTATTCTATTCCACAAAGTTTGAACTTTATTCTATTGAATTCTCTCTGTTTAACCAGACATACTACGATTTTTTCAAATAAATAAAAGAGAATCCTTCGCTATTCTCAATCTACGTTCTCCAGTATCATCTTCCACCGTTACTATATCACATTTTTCATGTGTCTGTTCAATATAAGAACGCATTTATCAACCTACCTTTACCATAAGGAGCGAGTAGCAGCAAATTCACCAAAGCAGCTCCGGTATCGTGGCCAATCAACGTGATTTTCGTTGGGTCTCCTCCGAAAGCAGCGATATTTTCGCGCACCCAACGTAGTCCCATGGCAATATCCTTCAACGCCAGGTTTCCACCGGATCCTGGCGTTCTGTCCGGATACGGACGAGTTCTCAGGAAGCCTGGAACACGGCCAAACCTTAACTCCACCACTTTCCTTGTGTCTTCGTTTAAAAAGAACACATCTAAAACGTCTGTACTTTATTCTTCCCTATTATTCTATCATATCTGTCCCCTTCGATCCTATTCTCCGCCTATTATTCTTCTTCTTCCATTGTTTTCATCTCTACGTTTGACATAAATTGTACCGAGAAAAATGAGACCAGTATCGAGGCAGACTGCCATGAAATTTACTATTTTTTTTTTTTTTTTATTTTCATTTGATTTTGTAATACGTTCAATTGGAGGAAACTGTAATCGGTTTTGGTTTCTACAGTCCACGGTAAATAGATATTGCGAATTGAATACGACAAAGGAACCGTGATATATATCAAATCTACCAACAGCAGGGATTTATGCATCTGCCGGACTTGCGTAATTATAATGTTAAATAATGCGATGCCTGGCGGATTTCTGGGACGCGTGCATACATCATTCGGACAGAATTTAACGCGGCGAATGAATTAACGAGCACGTTTTCCCTGGAATAAGAATTTATCCGACCGGCATGAATTGTTTATTAGCGGTTCAAAGCCGAACCTCCTCGATGATGGTGTTCCTGTTCGTTCTTTGATCAACATCGTGATTTCATGTAACATTCAGACCGTTAAATCTCGTTCGTTGAGAAAGACAGAAAGAAAATTAAAATAGCGTGATTATTCAAAGAAATAATTTTGAAAGTGAAAGATTCAGAGATACTTTGTATTTTTTTAAACTCACCTAAGATTCCCAGACGATAGTTAAGTGTGATCACTATCACGTGGCCAGCACTAGCTAAAACTGACCCATCGTAGATGTTCCCAGTTCCCCATTCGAAACTTTCACCGTGGACGTACACCATCACCGCGTATGGTGCTTCCAGTCCTCGCGAACCTGAAAAATTTCATAATGTATTAATCTTAAACGAATTGGAATCACGGTTTATTCGTTTAATCAACAGAAGAGTATATTTACTTGTCATTGATAAGGTTTAAACACATTTTGCTAAACTCCATTGGTGCTGTTTAGGAATCAGTAGAAGAGGTCAACGTCTAATCAGACACTGAATAAATATATTTACTCGAATAAAGCAATCTGGCTTGCTAGATATGAAAACTGATTAGAGAGGAAATTTTCTTTACATTTTATGCTAAAGAATGAGGATTTTTTATTGAAATATTAGATCAGTTAGATATTTATTAATTATTTCCATTTACAGTAGTTAGGAGTTGTCTTCTCTTACACTTTAAATCACTTGGAAACTTCAATACACGGATTATATGAAAAGAAATAATAAAAATAGCGTGCAATTCCATTAGTAACTCCATTCAAATTACACAATTTTCCTTTCAAGTTATGCCATCATTCATCTTGTCAGCAAGGATTTAAATCCTATTACGTAAAACATAAATCTTATTACTCGAGTGACGTTCGGATTACCACAGTAGTAAAGTTCTTAATCCCAAACTCGACATTTGCATCTAAAGATATTCCTGTCGTTATTGTCAAAGATTGTTTTATGATTAAAGAAAAACAATAAAGAGTAATCGAATGGATATAATAAACTGACAACCCTCAGAAAATTCAACTGTAGCCTTTATTTTAAATACAAAATTAAAAAATTACTTGCTTACAAAAATAAAAGATTACTTGCATATAAAAACAAAAACATTCTTTTAAAAAAAATATATTTATCATTTATCTTACGTATAGAATATATAATATAGAGTAATAGAATATAACAAGTAATAAAGTAATACTGTTTTTTAGAGGACATAACAAGTAGTAGAGTAATACTTTTTCTTTCTTTGATGTTGTCATTTCTGCATCTTAGTTTTCCATAAGTTTTAATAATTTAGAAGTAATATACTTCCTCTTCTTAAATATTGCAACTTGCAACAGTGTAGATCCAAGATGGTTACGAGCATTTGTTACAGCTAAAAATTCATCAGGTTGCAAGGCTTCTATAGTCTCAATAACTTTAACGTTACCATTCTTGGTGTCTTTAAATAATTTTTCAATCAGTCTGAACAGGCTATTAATATCCTGGTTGTTGGAAACATCAATCGGTGCTTTACCTTCCTTGTTTTTAATGTTATAACTTGCACCATATGTAAGTAGAGATTTGACAATATCTAGTGAACCATTCTTAGCAGCAATGTGAAGCGACGCGGTGCCGCTTGTTGTTGTTTTAGCATTTATAAAGTCATTCAATTTATCACGAGTTACATGCTCTAACAAAAGTTCGACCAACTCCTTGTAATTTTTCGAGGTAGCTGTGTGTAACGGTGTGTTACCTTTGTTAGTAACTTGAGTAACATCGGCTCCGTTTTCTAATAAGAATTTCACGACATCAGCGTGTCCATTACTAACAGCATAATGCAATGGGGTTCTTCCATCAACGTCTCTATCGTTGACATCGGCTCCATTTCTTAACAGATTCCGAATAGTCTGTACATCGCCTTTACTGGCAGCAATGTTGATTTCTTTTTGCAAATACTCGGTGATCTCCGCTGCTCCGCTACCTCCAATTTCAAATCTAAGGTTAATCAACCTTATTTGTTGGATAATATTCAAAACAGTGGGATGAGTTGGTCCAAAAACAGCGCTTCTTTTCCCCAAACATTCGCTGTAAATTTTATGTGCGCTAATATATTTACCCAGACAAAAATACGTATTTGCTAGATTGTATTGAGTGTTCAAGGTATCTGGATGATTTTCACCGAAAATGGTTTTCTGGATATCGAAAAGTTCTTGATGGGCCTTCAATGATTCGTCATATTTTTTCTGTTTCAAATGTAACCCAGCCATATTAAATAATGTTCTCAGGGTATCGGAATGATTTTTACCCAAAACAGTTCTCTTCTTCTCAAGCACTATTTCGTACATTTTTAAGGCTTCCTCGTATTTGCCTTGGTTACCTAATACCATTGCTATATTATTTTGGGCACAAATAGTGGCGTGGTGATTTGCACCATATATCTCTTTTCTCTTTTGAAAAACATCCTTGTTCATCTCTAATGCTTCTTCGTATTTTTCTTGTTTGTCTAACACCATCGCCATGTGAAACTGAGTGGTCAAAGTATCTTCGTGTCTAGGTCCTAATAATTCCTTCTGTTTTTTATATACTTCTTGATAAATATCTAAAGCTTCATCATCTTTCCCTTGTCTATGAATTATTAACGCACATGAGCTTCTTGTATTTAAAGTATCCTTGTGGTATAATCCTAATGTTTCTTTCTGTTTCTGATAAATCTCGTCCTGCAACTCGACAGCTACTTCATAAGCTCCTTGTTTATACAGTATTTTGGCTATGTATGTCAGAATCTCTAAGGTGGCAGGATTATATGGTCCTAGTATTTCTTTTCTTGTTTCTATCGCGTTTGTGAAGAACCTTAATGCCATGTCGTAATTTTCCTGGTTTAAGAACAGTAAAGCTGCACCAATCTGAGTGGATATGTCGCCTTGACCTATTACTTTCAATTGTTCGATTTTTGGAAAATTACTGTGCATTGCAGCAACTATTAGACTTTGCTTTTCCCGATCACGAGCACTCATTATTGCTTTTATTTTATCAATATTCTTTATCTTATTCAGCTCGTAAATAACTTTGGAGTTACCATTTCTAACATTTCGAAATGATTCATCCACTAATTTAAGTAGATCATTTATGTTTTTATCTGCAGCAAAATGGAATGGTGTTTTTTCATCGTCAGAAATAGCATTATATATCGCACCATTAGATAGCAAAATCATAACTATTTTTAAATGAGAAAACTTTGCAGCATAGTGCAGGGGAGTAAACGCCTTGTTGCCAGTTGCATTAGGATTAGCTTTATTTTCCAACAGAATATTTATTATTTTGTCATATCCTTTCCATGCGGCATAATGTAATGGTGTTCCCTGATAGCCTTTTGCACCAGCATGTTTGGCATTAACAAACGCTCCCATTCTGATGCACTTCTCAACTTCTGAAGAGTTCTTACGTTTTACAGCCTCGAATAATTTCTCAGTTGATAATAATTGGAAAATGATAATTTCGCTATTAGTCACTTCTATTGGTGTTCTGATTAATTTATCAGGAGTATTATAAACTGCGCCATTCTCTAATAAAATTTCAACAACTTCTTCTTGATCATAGTAAGCAGCAAGATGCAGAGGACTTCGTCCATTACGATCTTGAATGTTAATATCAGCACCTTCTGCTATCAAGTACCTTACAACTTCCATCTGACCCTTCCCCGCAGCATAATGTAATAATGTTTGATTGTCTATACCAAGATCATGAATACTACAGCCTTTAATAAGCAAAAATTTAACGATATCTTTAAATCCTTCTCGGGCCGCAATGTGTATGGGTTTCGAACCAACAGTGTTCCTAGCATTAACATCACACCCCTCATTTATTAGGTATTTTATCATTTCTAAATTACCTGCCTGTGCAGCAATATGTAATACTGTCCAATCATCAATACATTTAGCATTAATATTTATTTTCTTGTGCAACAGTAACGCTTTTACACATTCTAATTGTTTATGTGCAACTGCTTGCTCTAAAGCCGTTCTATTTTTGGAGTCTTTAATACTGACATCTGCTGCATTCTTTAATAGTACTCTAACAACATCTACATTTTCATCTTTGGTCACTGCTAAATGTAGTGGTGTACCATCCATACATTTAGCATTAACATTAGCTCCTTTTGATAATAAAAGCTCAACCATTTCCTTATGACACCCCGCTGCAGCCAAATGCAATGGTGTAATGCTTATTGCAGTAGTAACATTAACATCAGCTCCTTGTGCGATTAAGGCATTCGCTATTTCTGTGTGACCACTTTCAGCAGCCGTGTGTAACGCCGACATAGTTTGACGAAATTTTATGTCAATATGAGCGCTGTTTTGCAATAAAACATTTATAATATCTTCATCGCCAGCAGAAACTGCCAACGATAAAGGTTGACCCTCGTTTACATTAACATCAGCTCCATTGGCGATCAGAACTTCAACGATTTCTTTGGAATTTTCTTTAATAGCACAACACAATGGTGTCATATTATCTCCATTTTTGGCATTAACATTGGCCCCATTCGTTATCAAGATCTCAACGAGTTCTTTATTTTCTATTTCTACAGCTAAATGTAATGGAGTATTGCCTGCAATACATGTAGCATTAACTTTAGCATTATATTTTATTAGAAGATTAACAACATCTTTGTAGCCTCCCATAACAGCTGATTGTAATGGTGTAAAACCCAGGATACCTCTATTGTTAACTTTAGCTCCATTTTTTATTAGAAGAATAACATTATCTTCATGCCCATGAATGGCAGCTATATTCAATGGCGTAGTACCATCATCACATTCAGCATTGACTTTAGCTTTATTTTTTATTAAAAGATCAATAATATTTTTGTCACCTTTAGTAGCAGCTGCATGTAATGGTGTAATACCGCAATAGTTTTTAGCATTTACTTCAGATTTATTTTTTATCAAAAGATCACAAATATCTTTGTTACCGTTTTTAGTGGCTACGTATAATGGCGTGCAATTCGTAATATCTTTAATATTAACTTTAGCTTTATTTTTTATTAGAAGGTCTATAACATCTTTGTGGCCTCTCAAAGCAGCTAAATGTAATGGAGTGATACCACTATTATCTTGTGCATTAACTTCTGCTCCGTTTTTTATTAAGAGTTCAGCAATTTCCTTATAACCCTTTTCTGCTGCATAGTGCAATAGCGTCTCTTTATGTTCAACTGTAACATTAATATTGATACTGTATTTGAGAAGAGTGACAACTATTTCTAAATGACCATTTTGTACTGCAAGATGCAGTGGAGTGAAACCTTCAACAGTGGCTATGTTAGTATTGGCATTATTATTTAGTAGAGCCTCAACAATTCTCTCATTTCCACCTTTTGCTGCATAGTGCAAAGGTGTATTGTTATAAGTTTTATCAGAAACATTAGCATTAGCTCCATGTTCTAATAAAATGTTAGCTATTTTCTCGTAACCATTCTCTATTGCATAATGTAATGGTGTAGAACCATCTAGAACTCTAACATTAACATCAGCACCATTTAAAATCAGAATATTTACTATCTCCAAATGACCATGTAGTGCTGCCGTATGTAATGGGGTTCCTCTTGTATCGCTTCTTGCATTAACATTTGCCCCCTTTTTAAGTAAGAACTCAACTATCTCTAGGTGTCCACACTCTGCAGCTACATGTAGTAAAGTACAACTATCCATAGCCTGTGTAAAATCAACATCTACTTCCTTTTCCAGAAGAACTTTAACAACATCAATATGATTATTCGTTACTGCAGAGAGTAAAGGTGGGAAACTAATTCGATCTTGAGTGATAATATTAGCACCAGTCATTAGTAGAATTTCAACAATATTCCTGTTACCATTTTCAGCTGCAATATGCAGTGGAGTTTTTTTATTATTATCGCGATCATCGATACATAACTCTGTTTCCTCTACAAAAAATTTTACAATATTTGCCCTTCCGTATAAAGCAGCAATGTGCAGTGGGCTTTGACCATTAATATTCTTCACATTAAGACTTACATTCTGATTAAGAATAAACTTTACAACTGCAAGACTGGGTCCTTTGGCAGCAAAATGTATTGTGGTCCACATATTATTATCTCTAGCATGAATGTCCACTCCTTTTTTGATACAATCCTTCAAGTTTTCTAGATTTCCTTCTTCTAATGCAACAAACATCCGTTTTTGATTAGTAACTATAGCTAGACAATGACCATATTTATCCTTTAATTTGGAGATATCTTCTTTTATCAACTTGCCAATTTTTTTCTTCTTCTTGAGTATATTTTCTGTAGTTAATTTTCTAGCATTTAGAATAACTGATATAGAAGGATCAGGTAATAATATGTGAACTAAAGCATTGTCATGTGCTAAGTAATTATGCAAACATTTTCCAGTTAATAGAGGAGTACTATAATCTAAGAAAAATAGATCATCTTCTAAGTAATTTTTTGAACTGCCTAATATTGACATTATATCCAGCACAAGCATCTTTACTACTACTTGTAGTTTTTTATTCTGTTTATAGAAAGAGAGTTTATCAATTAATTGATCATTCAATGCATTAGTGTTTAAAATGTTCTGCAATTCTGATAACTTCAGTTCAAGCTGATTATTATGCTCTATTTCTGATATTTTATTGTTCGTCCGGTTTTGTTTATACATAGGTATCAAAGAACCTTTTACACTTAATTTTTCTCTTAATGACTCAATCCATTTGATATCATTTATTTCAAATTCAATGATACCAACAATTTTGAATATTATTCTGTATATTTCTGTAAGGTACATTTCATCTTGCATTCTTAACTTAACACAATGAGCGATTTTTATAATCAGTTCAGCAATTTCTTTAAGACTACGCGAATTTATTTTAGAAGTAATACTCTGTAGTATTTTATTAGCAAACAATTTATATACTCTAACAAAATTGTGATTAATCTCTGTATTACTATAGATAAAACCAAAACTCCGTAAAGTTACGAATCCTACAACATAATCAGTCTTCTTGCTTGTTGATTCAGTGTTTGCAAGATGTAGTATGTTATTAATTTCATCAAACAGTTCTTCTTCATAATTTGTTTGCATTACAGTATTGCTTAATTCTTCAATTAATTCCTCAAGTTCCTCGAGTTCCATTATATTATAGTTCTCTCGAATCATTGTATCAAACTCGATATTACTAAGTTCTCCAATAATCTCTTGTATCTCATCTACATTTTCACTATCAATAATGTTTTGCAATAATATTCTGATCACTTTAACTTTATTGCCGAAAAAAATATTAGTAATCACCTCACCGATTTCTCTGATATCGATTTGAATATCAATACAAAAATTAACATCTGTATTCTTCTCGATCTCTGTTCTCTTGGAGAGTGAATAAGCGTGCGAAAATGAATTATGTAAGTCTATAACGACTTCTCTTGTATACTTTGGTAACGACAGTAGAAGCAGTGCACTCATAGTATTGGATAATTTAGGAGATTCCAGAGTGTTTTGTAAATATTCACCGATAACTTGCAAGACTCTTGTGATAATTAATTGTCCTTCCCTTGTTGCAGGATCAATTGATAATGCCAACTGTACATAATTATTTATTTTATCTAAAGAATACATATCCCTAATCTGTTGGTAATCAGTATACAACTCTTCAAATTCAGGAGAATTGCTAATAATACTTGCAACAACTATCTCCCGCTTTAATTTTGGAAGATCCGAAATTTTACTAATATCCATTGTGTTTATGTTATTCTTCAGTTCTTCAAGTTTCTTTCCAAAATTTTGTAATTGGTTTAGTATTTTTCTTTTATTCAATATAGCAAAATAAAACAGATTAATTTCTTGTTGTTTAATGTAAGAAGAAACAAAGCAGACTAAACAGAATTCTATTTCTTCCCAAGGTATTATATTATAGGTTGATTTCAATTGCTGTTTCAGTATATGAATATTTTGTGCAATAAATTTTGCTATGAATAAAAACTTTGTATCCACTTTTTCTGTATCTATATACTCTGATTTTAACAAGTTAATGTTCTGAAGTATTAATTCAATCCGTTCTTTAATATTATTAAGATCACAACCATAACTTTTACCCTGTTTGGAAGTGTTAGAGAAGAAACGGAGGTTTATTAATTTACTTTCAACAAAAATTTCTATTTTGTCCGACAATGGTACATTTTTTAGCTTTAATTCTTCATAAGCTCTTGAAAGAATTTCATCCAATTCCTCCAAATGAGAAGTAAAATAATTACCTGGCCATTTTTGAATTAGTGTATCAAGAAGCTCGATGTTACCTGAACGTATGGCATAGTAAAATGCATTATGGCTTGCTTCGTCTTCATAATCAGGTAGTATAACGCTTTCTTTAATATTCATGGATAGGTTAGTTAGAATTTTATTATCAAGTAGATATTTTAGTATCTCCTGCTTATTTTCCTTACAAGCTAAAATAACTAAGTTAGTGTTTTTAATAGGATTGTTAGTATTATTGTAGTAATCTTGTAAAGCTGTTTGATCTTCTGTCTCCCTTATATGATCAATTAAATAGTTTAACTTTTTTAAACTATTAATATCACCTGCTAATGTTGCTTTTTCAAGTTCAATGAAAAGCATTAGAAAAAGTTCTTCAGTTTTTGCTTTTTCGTTGTACAGCTTTTTATATTCTCTTACAAACTCCTCTTTTGATGCGAATGAACGTAATAAAAATTTTTTATGTTCTTGACAAGAACTAGACTGCTGTTTAGATACATTCGCAGCCTCCATTATTTATATCAGTATTATAATAATAAAGTTAATTTAATATGACAAAATTAAAAATAATATCTTCTGAGGCACACTTATTTTGGTGATGCAAAGAAATTAGTTACTCTTTGGTGTGTAATATTGTATTTGCGAAAATACGTTATAGAAGCCTTTCAAAAGGACCTTCTAGAATGATGTGTATACATTTGTGAAATCATCTTGTATAAAAATAAGAATTGTGTGAATATAAAAGTTCAAATCTTCACAACAAAATCAAACAATATTTCATACACAAATGTGATCACTATAAACTGGTTTTTTGATATAACAGAATTATTATAAACAACAGTACGAATGGTACATATGAAACAAAGAACACTCAGAAACCGTTACTAAACAGAAGCCGGTAAAACTTTATAACAGTCCTGGGATAAACGACGCATTTTGTCCTGTTCAATCGAGCCGCAGTCATCCCCACCAGTTTGTAGAACAGTTTCTATAGCGCCAACGTTGCGTTTCACGTTATCCATGTCTCATAACCGTTGATATTTGAACGATAACATCGGAATAAGCTTTATTAATAAAGCATTTCTTAGAACAATAACTGTATGGAACGCAACAGCTATGGATTTGGAAATAAGGAATGTACAGGTGGTAAATCTACAGGATCTGAAAACCTTACATGATGTGAAGAGAGACAAAATGTGTGAAAGTAAGTACAAGGTGTCTCATAACTCGCGTAACACCTGGAAATAAGGGGTTGCTGGGGTGATACTGAACAACTTTTTCCTTTACCAAAATCTTGGTTGAAGCTTCGTTTTTGAATTATTAACGAAAAAAACACTGGCCAATGAGAGCGCGTGTAGAGCGCGCGCTCAACACGAAGGCTTTGGCTCTCAACCGCGCTCGGTCGTGGTCGTGAAAAAACGAATTGGCACTGCGTGGGTATCGAGAGAAGCCTGCGACAAATGTTACATCGTCTTAAATTAACAACAATGTGGAATTAGTCGCACGTTTCCCTACATACCCAAGCTGTGCCAATGCATTTGTTCACGACCACGATCGAGCGTGGTTGAGAGCCAACGCTCTCGTGATTCAGCGCGCACTCTATGCTCGCTCTGATTGGCCAGTGTTTTTTGTTAATAATTCAAAAACGAAGCTTCAACCACCATTGTGATAAAGGAAAAAGTTGTTCAGAATCACCCCAGCAACCTCCCAATTTCGGGAGTAACGTGAGTTCCGGGACACGCTGTATATTTTTTACATCTTCTTTTGTACGATTTGAAACTCGTTCGTCGTATGAATTATTCATGAAAAAAAAAGCAATTATTACAGAGTGAAATGGTATTCACTATTTTGTTTTGCGTTTACGGTATCATCTATTAAGCGATCAATTAAGCATACGAACTTCATCTTTATATCCAGAATGGAAGATACTCCGGCACGATGCTTCTAATCAACTGGCATAAAAAGAACGTACAATTGTTTCCATAACTCCATTCAAATTACACAATTTTCCTTTCAAGTTATAAAGAATAAAAAACAATAAAGACTAATCGAATGGATATAATAAACCGACGAACCGCAGAAAATTAAACTGTAGCCTTTATTTTAAACAACAAAAACATAAAATTACTTGCTTACAAAAAATAAAATATTCTCTTTCAAAAAAATATATATATTTATCATTTATCTTACGTATAGAGTATATAATATAAAAGTAAATAAAATATATTTTTCTTTCTCTTATATTGTCGTTTCTGCATCTTAGTTTCCCATAAGTTTTAATAAATTAGAAGAAATATACTCCCTCTTATTGAATATTGCAACTTGCAACAGTGTGGATCTAAGATTGTTACGAGCATTTGTTACAGCTAAAAATTCATCGGGTTTCAAGGCTTGTATATTCTCAATAACCTTAACATTACCATTCTTTGTGTCTTTAAATAATTTTTCAATCAGTCTGAACAGGCTATTAATATCCTGGTTGTTGGAAACATCAATCGGTGCTTTACCTTCCTTGTTTTTAATGTTATAACTTGCACCATATGTAAGTAGAGATTTGACAATATCTAGTGAACCATTCTTAGCAGCAATGTGAAGCGACGCGGTGCCGCTTGTTGTTGTTTTAGCATTTATAAAGTCATTCAATTTATCACGACTTACATGCTTTAACAAAAGTTCGACTATCTCCTTATAACTTTTTGAAGTAGCTGTGTGTAATGGTGTGTTACCTTTGTTAGTAACTTGAGTAACATCAGCCCCGTTTTCTAATAAGATTTTCACGACATCAGTGTATCCATTACCAACCGCATAATGCAATGGAACTCTTCCATCAACGTCTTTATCGTTGACATCGGCTCCATTTCTTAACAGATTCCGAATAGTCTGTACATCGCCTTTACTAGCAGCAATGTTGATTTCTTTTTGCAAATACCCGATGATCTCCGCTGCTCCGCTACCTTCCATCTTAAATCTATCGTTAATTAACTCTATGTGTTGTTTAATATTCAAAACAGTGGGATGAGTTGGTCCAAAAACAGCGCTTCTTTTCTCTAAGCATTCGCTGTAAATTTTAAGTGCGCTAATAAATTTACCCTGCCAAAAATACGTATTTGCTAGATTGTATTGTGTGTTCAAGGTATCTGGATGACTTTCACCGAAAATGGTTTTCTGGATATCGAAAAGTTCTTGATGAGCCTTCAATGATTCGTCATATTTTTTCTGTTTCAAATGTAACCCAGCCATATTAAATAATGTTCTCAGGGTATCGGAATGATTTTTACCCAAAACAGTTCTCTTCTTCTCAAGTACTATTTTGTACATTTTTAAGGCTTCCTCGTATTTGCCTTGGTTACCTAATACCATTGCTATATTATTTTGGGCAGAAATAGTGACGCGGTGATTTGCACCGAATATCTCTTTCCTCTTTTGAAAAACATCCTTGTTCATCTCTAATGCTTCCTCGTATTTTTCTTGTTTGTCTAAAACTAACGCCATGTGAAACTGTGTATTCATAGTATCTTCGTGTCTTGGTCCTAATAATTCCTTCTGTTTTTTATATATTTCTTGATAAATATCTAAAGCTTCATCGTTTTTCCCTTGTCTGTGAATTATTAACGCAAATGTGCTTCTTGTATTTAAAGTATCCTTGTGGTATAATCCTAATGTTTCTTTCTGTTTCTGATAAATCTCGTCCAGCAACTCGACAGCTACTTGAAAAGATCCTTGTTTATACAGTATTTTGGCTATGTCTGTCTGAATCTCTAAAGTGGCAGGATTATATGGTCCTAGTATTTCTGTTCTTCTTTCTAACGCGTTTGTAATGAACCTGAGCGCCATGTTGTAATTTTCCTGGTTTGCGAACAGTAAAGCTGCATCAATCTGAGTGGATATGTCGCCTTGACCTATTAGTTTCAATTGTTCGATTTTTGGAAAACTACTGTGCATTGCAGCAACTATTAGACTTTGCTTTTCCCGATCAGAAGCACTCATTATTGCTTTTATTTTATCAATATTCTTTATCTTATTAAGCTCGTAAATAACTTTGGAGTTACCATTTCGAACATTTCGAAATGATTCACCCACTAATTTGAGTAGATCATTTACATTTTTATCTGCAGCAAAATGGAATGGTGTTTTTTCATCGTCAGAAATAGCATTATATATCGCACCATTAGACAGCAAAATCATGACAATTTTTAAATGAGAAAACTTTGCAGCATAGTGCAGGGGAGTAAACGCCTTGTTGCCAGTTGCATTAGGATTAGCTTTATTTTTTAACAGAATATTTATTATTTCGTCATATCCTTTCCATGCTGCAAAATGTAATGGTGTTCCCACATAGCCTTTTGCTCCAACATGTTTGGCATTAACAAACGCTCCCATTCTGATGCACTTCTCAACTTCTGATGAGTTGTTACGTTTTACAGCCTCGAATAATTTCTCAGTTGATGATAATTGAACAATAACTTTTTCGCTATTAGCCATTTCTCTTGGTGTTCTGGAAAATTTATCAACAGTATTATAAACTGCGCCATTCTCTAATAAAATTTCAACAACTTTTTCATAACCATTGTTAGCAGCAATATGCAGAGGACTCAATCCAGTACGATCTTGAATGTTAATATCAGCACCTTCTGCTATCAAGTGCTTTACAGCTTCCACCTGACCCTTCATCGCAGCATAATGTAATAATGTTTGATTGGCTGCACCAAGATCATCGATACTACAGTCTTTACTAAGGAAAAATTTAACGATATCTTTAAAACCTTCTCTGGCCGCAATGTGTATGGGTTTCGAACCAGCAGCGTTCCTAGCATTAACATCACACCCTTCATTTATTAGGTATTTTACCATTTCTAAATTACCTGCCTGTGCAGCAATATGTAATATTGTCCAGTCATCATTACATTTAGCATTTATATTTATTTTCTTGTTGTGCAATAGTAATGCTTTTACACAATCTAACTGTTTATATGCAACTGCTTGCTCTAAAACCCTTCTATTTTTTGGGTCTCTAATACTGACATCTGCTCCATTCTTTAATAGTACTCTAACAACATCCACATTTTCATCTCTGGTCACTGCTAAATGTAATGGTGTACCATCCATAGATTGAGCATTAACATTAGCTCCTTTTGATAATAAAAGCTCAACCATTTCCTTATGACACCCATCTGCAGCCAAATGCAATGGTGTATGGCTTGTGTCAGCAGTAACATTAACGTCGGCTCCATTAGCGATTAAGGTATTCGCTATTTCTGTGTGACCTCTTTCAGCAGCTGTATGTAACGCTGACATAGATTGTCGAAATTTTATGTCAATACGAGCATTGTTTTGCAATAAAACATTTATAATATCTTTATAACCAGCAAAAACTGCCAACGATAAGGGTTCACCCTCGTTTACATTAACATCAGCTCCATTTACGACGAGAACTTCAACGATTTCTTTGGAATTTTTTTTAATTGCACAACACAATGGTGTCATATTATTTCCATTTTTGGCATTAACATTGGCCCCATTCCTTATCAAAATCTCAACGAGTCCTTTATTTTCTATTTCTACAGCTAAATGTAATGGAGTATTATCTCCAACACCCACAGCGTTAATTTCAGCATTATTTTCTATTAGAAGATTAACAACGTCTTTGTAGCCTCCCATAATAGCTGAGTGTAATGGTGTGAAACCAAAGATACCTTTATTATTAACTATAGCTGCATTTTTGATTAGAAGAATAACATTATCTTCATGCCCACACGTAGCAGCTACATTCAATGGCGTAGTACCATCATCACATTTAGCATTGACTTCAGCTTTATTTTTTATTAAAAGATCAATAATATTTTTGTCACCTTTAGCGGCAGCTGTATGCAATGGCGTAACACCGCAATTATTTTTAGCATTTACTTTAGCTTTATTTTTTATCAAAAGATCACAAATATCTTTATTACCGTTTTCAACAGCTGCGTGTAATGGTGTGCAACCATTAATATTTTGAATGTTAACTTTAGCTTTATTTTCTATTAGAAGGTCTATAACATCTTTGTGGCCTCTCAAAGCAGCTAAATGTAATGGAGTGAGATCAGTATCATCTATTGCATTAACTTCTGCTCCGTTTTTTATCAAGAGTTCAGCAATTTCCTTATAACCCTTTTCTGCTGCATAGTGCAATAGCATCTCTTTACGTTTAGCTGTAACATTAATATTGGTACTGTGTTTGAGAAGAGTAGTAACTATTTCTAAATGACCATTTTGCACTGCAAGATGCAGTGGAGTAAAACCTTCAACAGTGGTAATGTTAGTATTGGCATTATTTTCTAGTAGAGCCTCAACAATTCTCTCATGTCCATTCATTGCTGCATAGTGCAAAGGTGTATTGTTATAAGTTTTATCAGAAACATTAGCATTAGCTCCATGTTCTAATAAAATGTTAGCTATCTTCTCGTGACCATTCTCTATTGCATAATGTAATGATGTACAACCATGTAGAACTCTAGCATTAACATCAGCACCGTTTAAAATCAGAGTATTTACCACCTCCAAATGACCATTTAGAGCTGCCGTATGTAATGGGATTCCTCCTCTATCGTTTCTTGCATTAACATTTGCCCCTTTTTTAAGTAAGAAATCAACAATCTCTTGGTGGCCAAACTCTGCAGCTACATGAAGCATAGAAAAACCACCCACAGACTGTGTAAAATCAACATCTACTTCATTTTTTAGAAGGACTTTAACAACATCAATATGATTATTCCGTACTGCAGAAAGTGAAGGTGGGTAGCTAATTAGATCTTGAGTGTTAATATTAGCACCATTCATTAGTAGAATTTCAACAGTATTTTTATTACCATTTTCAGCTGCTGTATGCAGTGGAGTTTTTTTATTATTATCGCGATCATCGATACATAACTCTGTTTCCTCTACAAAAAATTTTACAATATTTGCCCTTCCATATAAAGCAGCAATGTGCAGTGGGCTTTGACCATTAATATTCTTCACATTAAGACTTACATTCTGATTAAGAATAAACTTTACAACTTCAAGACTGGATCCTTTGGCAGCAAAATGTACTGTGGTCCACATATTATTATCTCTAGCATGAATGTCCGCTCCTTTTTTGATACAATCTTTTAAGTTTTCCAGATTTCCTTCTTCTAATGCAACAAACATCTGTTTCTGATTAGAAACTATAGCTAGACAGTAACCATATTTATCCTTTAATTTGGAGATATCTTCTTTCATCAATTTGCCAATTTTTTTCTTCTTCTTGAGTATATTTTCTGTTGTTAATTTTGTAGCATTTAGAATAACTGATATAGAGGGATCAAGTAATAATATGTGAACTAAGGCATTGTCATGTGCTAAGTAGTTACGCAAACATTTTCCAGTTAATAGAGGAGTATTATAATCTAAGAAAAATAGATCATCTTCTAAGTAATTTTTTAAACTGCCTAAAATTGACATTATATCCAGCACAAGCATCTTTATTACTACTTGGAGTTTTTCATTCTGTTTATAGGAAGAGGATTTATCAATTAATTGTTCATTCAATGCATTAGTGTTTAAGATGTTTTGCAATTCAGATAACTTCAGTTCAAGCTGATTATTATGCTCTATTTCTGATATTTTATTGTCCGTCCGTCTTTGTTTATACATAGGTATGAAAGTACCTGTTACATGTAATTTTTCTCTTAATGACTCAATCCATTTGATATCATTTATTTCAAATTCAATGATGCCAACAATTTTGTAGATTATTCTGTATATTTCTAAAATGTACATTTCATCTTGTATTCTTGATTTAACACTGTGAGCGATTTTTATGACCAGTTTAGCAATTTCTTTAAGACTGCGAGATTTGATTTGAGGAGTAATATACTGTAGTATATTATTAGCAAAGAATTTAATTCCTCTAACCATATTGTGATTAATCTCAGTATCACTACAGGTAACACTTAAACTCTGTAAAGTTATGAATCCTGTAACATAATCAGTTCTCGTCCTTGTTGATTCACTGTTTCTAAGATGTATTATGTTATTAATTTCATCAAACAGCTGTTTCTCATAAATGGATTTTATTACATTATCACTTAATTTTTCAATCAATTCCTCAAGTTTCTCGAGTTCCGTTATATTGCAGTTCTCTCGAATCATTTTATCAAACTTGATAGTACTAAGTTCTCCAATAATCTCTTTTATCTCATCTACATTTTGACTATCAATAAGTTTTTGCAAAAGTATTCTGATCATTTTAATTTTATTGCCGTAAAAAATATTAGTAACCACCTCACCGAATTTTCTGATATCATTTTGAATACCAATAAAAAAATTAACATCTGTATTCTTCTCAATCTCTGTTCTCTTGGAGAGTGAATAAGCGTGCGAAAATGAATTACGTAAGTCTATGACGACTTCTCTTGTGTACTTTGGTAATGACAGCAGAAAAAATTCACTCGTAGTATTAGATAATTTAGGAGATTCCAGTGTGTTTTTGAAATATTCACCAATAACTTGCAAGACTCTTGTAATAATTAATTGTCCTTCCCTTCCTGTAGGATCAATTGCTAATGCCAACTGTACATAATCATTCATTTTGTCTAAAGAATACATATCTCTAATTTGTTGGTAATCAGTATACAACTCTTCAAATTCAGGAGAATTGCTAATAATACTAGCAACAACTATCTGCCGCTTTAATTTTGGAAGATCCGAAAATTTACTAATATCCATTGTGTTTATGTTATTCTTCACTTCTTCAAGTTTCTTTCCAAAATTTTGTAACTGGTTTAGTATTTTCCTTTTATCCAATATCGCAAAATAAAACAGATTAATTTCTTGTTGTTTAATGTAAGAAGAAACAAAGCAGATTAAACAAAACTCCATTTCTTCCCAAGGTATTATATTATAGGTTGATTTCAATTGCTGTTTCAGTATATGAATATTTTGTGCAATAAATTTTGCTATGAATAAAAACTTTGTATCTACTTTTTCTGCATCTATATACTCTGTTTTTAACAAGCTAATGTTCTGAATTATTAATTCAATGCGTTCTTTAATATTATTAAGATCACCCCTATAACTTTTACCCTGTTTGGAAGTGTTAGAGAAGAAACGGAGGTTTATTAATTTACTTTCAACAAAAATTTCTATTTTGTCCGACAATGGTATATTTTTTAGCTTTAATTCTTCATAAGCTCTTGATAGAATTTCATCCAATTCCTCCAAATGAGAGGTAAAATAATTACCTGGCCATTTGTGAATTAGTGTATCAAGGAGCTCAATGTTACCTGAACGTATGGCATAATAAAATGCATTATGGCTTGCTTCGTCTTCATAATCAGGTAGTATAACGCTTTCTTTAATATTCATGGATAGGTTAGTTAGAATTTTATTATCAAGTAGATATTTTAGTATCTCCTGCTTATTTTCCTTACAAGCTAAAATAACTAAGTTAGTGTTTTTAATAGGATTGTTAGTATTATTGTAGTAATCTTGTAAAGCTGTTTGATCTTCTATCTCCCTTATATAATTAATTAAATGGTTTAACTTTTTTAAACTATTAATATCACCTGCTAATGTTGTTTTTTCAAGTTCAATGAAAAGCATTAGAAAAAGTTCTTCAGTTTTTGCTTTCTCATTGTACAGCTTTTTATATTCTTTTACAAACTCCCCTTTTGTTGCAAATGAACGTAATAAAAACTTTTTATGTTTTTGATAAGAACTAGACTGCTGTTTAGATACATTCACAGCCTCCATTATTTATATCAGTATTATAATAATAAAGTTAATTTAATATTGACAAAATTAAAAATATCTTCTGAGAAACACTTACTTTGGTGTTGCAAAGAAATTATTTCCTCTTTGGTGTGTAATATATTTGTGAAAATATGTTATAGATACCTTTCAAAAGGACCTTTTAGAAAGATTTGTATATATACATTTGTGAAATCACCTTGTATAAAAATAAGAGTTGTGTGAATGTAAACGTTCAAATCGGCTGCACTTCGTCTTAGGGGACCAATAATTTTTAAATAAAAAGTATCAAATCTTAAAGATTTTGACCTGGAACATTCGAAAATGCTGGTTAAAAGTCCAGGAAACCAATGGTTTGAAAAATACAACTGTGTGAAAAAAGTGTATTTTTGCGTACTTTGACAGGTTAGTACGACGCCATATAATCGTCACAACAAAACCAAACAATAATTCATGTATAAATGTGATCACAATAAAATGGTTTTATGATATAACAAAATTATTATAAACGACAGTACGAATGGTACATATGAAACAAAGAAGACTCAGAAACCGTGACCAATACAGGCGATGGTAAAATTTCATATTAATCCTTAGATAAACCATGCATATTTTCCTGTTCAATCGAGCCGCAGTCATCCCCACCAGTTCGTAGAACTATTTCTATAGCGTCAGCGTTGTGTTTCACGTTATCCGTGACTCATAAATGTTGATATTTGAACGACATCATCAGAATAAGCTTCATTAAGAAAGCATTTCGCAGAACAATAACTGTGTGAAACGCAACAGTTATGAAAATAAAGAAAGTACAGGTGGTAAATCCAGAGGCTCTGAAAACCTTACACGATGTGATAGAGAGGCAAATTATGTAAAAGTTGTATATTTTTAAAATCATTTTTATGATTTGAAACTCATTCGTCGTATGAATTATTCATAAAAAAAAACAATTATGACAGAGTGAAATGGTATTCATTATTTTGTTTCGCGTTTACGTCATTATCTATTAAGCGATCAATTAAGCGTACGAACTTCATCTTTATATCCAGAAGGGAAGATACTTCGGCACGATGCTTCTAATTAATTAGCACAGGTTTATAATACACGGCCAGGAAATTTTGAGCCGGCTACCTATCGTCTGTTTATGGAACACTATGGTATTACGGAACAACTTACTTCCTCAAGTAATTAGTCCCGAAGCAATTAGTACCTTTATGCCGGATATTATCGCGAAAGTAAGAGCCCGGCTCGTATATCATTCGAATCAACATTGGAGTCGAATTTACGAGGAGAGACATCGCTGAAAAGTCTACGGTTCATTTTACCAGGCTTTCGATCAAAATTACACGAGTGACGTTTGCTAAAATAAAAGACGGACGATATTTTTCATTATCTTGCTTGAAAAATGATCGATATTGTTACACTAATTGAACGTGATGTCAAAAAAAAAGAAAAGATTTAAAAATATAAAAAAACATAGTGTTCATATTTTCCTACAATTTCTTCTATCTTAGCATTAAAACAATAGTCATCGTTCTCATTTCAACCAAAAATGCTCCAACTATACCCAGAACGAAAATAAAGAAGAAGAAGAGAGTCGTATAAAAAAAAAGTTTCATTGTTCTTACCACTGCCGGGTATGTACAGGTTCAGAAACAGGCAGTCCTCGCTCTGATTGGTCAGGAACATGTACAAACGCTTCAGCTGTTGGTACCTGTCGAGGGGCATTTGCAGTAAAGCAACTGTGTCATTGCGAATGTCGGGAAAGTGCTGCGGGCAAACAGCTCCGAACGAATCCGCCAGCTTGATACCGTCCCAGGGGATCGGCGAGATCGGTGGTCGAAAACGTAAATCTCCTACGGGAGGTGCCGCGTACGGGATACCTCGAAACACTTCCACGGGATCTAGGTGTCTGCTGTTCAACTCCTGAAACACAGAATAAAAGCCCAATGAAATCGCTATAACCCGGGGTTCCAATTAAAATCCAGCAATTAAATATAAAGATTTTTAATTTACAGGGTATTTCAAATGAATTTGATTTTAGAGAGCTTACTATTTGCTATTACATTAAATTAGATTATTTTATCGAATTCTATAAAATTAATTATTGAATTTCGAAACGATCGTCAATCAGAATAATTAAATTCTAAAATTCTGGCTAAAGTCCTGCTCAGTTATGTATAGAAGTGATCAGTGTAGATTGATAAATTAATGACTGGAGAGCAGGGTGATCACTAAAATCGTCAAATTCCCGAAATTATGTCGTTTTCAATTAGCACCATGAATTTCGGTATGCTAATAGCGACAAAAGTACCTCGTTACTTCAATTGGCGTGCGGAGCCTCCGATAGGAAGCTCTCTGACGGCAATATCTCTGCCGGGAACATTGAGTTAGATGTAAATCCTGTGTTTTATGTACACAAACGTGGCACGGATGTTCGTGTTACCGGGAACTAATTACCTAATTACCTTCTGGGTTTCGATTATCTCTGCTTTACGAGAGATTCGATCCGATGAACAATCAATCGAAATAGAACTAAAAAGGTTCGAAATTTTTTGATTTACACGTACGCGCTTTCTCACGCGCTTATTTCTATTGGCGATCAATCAAAGGGGTATAAACTGACGCGAAACAGAAGCGTTTTCACAGCGACACCAGCTGCTAACGAAACTCGATAATTGCTTTCGTTAGACGTAATTGCGCAGAAAAAGAAAACACTGCCATTCGCCAGGCTTTCTTCGAAGCAATTATACGGTGAGAGCTAATAAATCTCGTTTGGTACGCGTCGACGTTAATTGCAGCTGCCGGGTGCCGCACGGAAAAAGACCCTTTTCCCTCTGCCCCTGATTCGAGAACGACGATGGAGCTGCATCGAGTTCAAAATCACGAATTCCCATTAACGGGAGGGCCTGTGATGTTACCCAGGGAATAATAAAGAGAGCAAGCCAAGATGCGGAAAAATCCTCGACCCTCTGGCCTTATTTCCACCCCCTTGAACCCTCTATAATTATAGCACTCCCTACTTTCTACTGAAAAGAATTCTTTTTTTTTTCTTTGTCCCAGAGTGGAGATAATATCGGAATATATTTTGGTAATTTTTCAATTCTTTTTTCCAACGATAAAAACGATAATTATGACAGGAACTGTGGTACAGCAATCTCGGGACAGGGAAATTGGAGAACGAGGGAGAAAAATATTTAAAAATCGTTCTCCCTGGTGATTTAATCCGGTTCGTTCACGTGCTTTCGAGCACGTTAAAAATTAACGACCTTCACCTGTCGACATCGTTGACGGTCAACGGTCGTGTTCGTGAAAATGCCTATGAAGCAAGCCTGTTGACGCGTTTATTTATCCCCGCGAGACCCTCGATTTCCCTGGCTGCCATACGATTGATTTCTCTTCAATATTTCTGTTGATACCGCTCGGCGATTATCTTCAATTTTCTCTTTCCTCTCGTCCTCGAGCCCGCGTTTTACCATCGACTCGTATTTTTCACAAAATCATAGCGAATTAATAGTTGCATAAACATATTTTGCGATCAACGAATCCTAAAGAGATATCGCCTTTTCCTAGAAAATGTGAATTGGCACTGTTAAGAAATTTAAGGATCCTGGCCCAACCCCTAGAAAATCATTGCTCTATCAATGTCCTCGACGTAGAAGCCGACATTCGGGTTGATTCAAAGGCTCGTTCCTTGATTGTTCTTACCAGATTTTCCATAACTTTCGTTCTAATTACGCTTTTCATCGGACGATCGCGTTACCTTAATCACAGGGTAATTACGGTTACGCTAGTCCGCCGGTCAAACAGCCGGCTGGGTTGGTGGACGCGCGTGCAATCTGGCAATAATAATGGCCGCTCTCGGTAATGCCACCATAATTACGGAACGATGACATTACGTCGGCCTCGCTACGATGGACATTGTATACGCTTTGGACGGGTTCGAGCAGCACACGCCAACAATGGCGCATGATAAAATGTTTAGCAGTTTACATGCCAATTGTCCGCGACACAGGGAATCGCGACAGCTGTCGGCCAGCATGGACTTTATAGGCCGGTAAACGGCCGTGGAAAATGAAAATGTCTGTCGAATTTTCCGACGAGAAATATCGCCAGACGTTCCTACAACTCGTGCGTCATGGAATAACGATCAAGTTATGGAGGGATCGGAAGCTGTTCGTTATTTTATGAAAGCAGGTCTCCTCCGTGCTTGGGGGTGAACTTTTATGGGAGATCCTGGGGAAAGATAGTTTGATGCGGATTTTATTGGTTCCACGGTTGGAATTGGGTATTTGACGCAAGGTTCGACTAGGATATAGTATGTTTTATTCTTGTATCCTTCAATCGTTAATAAAAAAAAAAAAAAAAAATGAAATTTATAATAGGAAACTTTTGAACGCTGCTATGCTCTGAAGAAGAGTGTGTAATTTCACGGTACAGCAGGGTGCACGATTTTTCTTTCTTTCAAGAGAGCATTAGCGGAAAATTGCTGGCAGCGAAGCGTGGCGAGAAAAACGTAGCTTTTCCATAAACTAGGAACTAGCCCCTCGGATTTTCCAGCCGATTTATTTATCGTCGTGGCCCAGATCGGGCTGTTTAATTTTTAAACGAGAGACTAGTCGAGCGTCTGCGAATGCGTTATGAGCTCTAACCCCCTGCTAGATGCATGCAATTTCATCTTTTCACTCCGCGAGCATTCACATTTCTTTAGCGTTCCACGTCGCTAGGATAATGAAATGTTCGCGTAGCCAACATCGCGGAAATATTTGCGACTGTACGTGGTCGCGAAACTGGCCAGCTCGCTAAATACATCTTTCAAAATTATTTTAATTTACATGCACTGCCGTCCATAAATTACCGGACACTCTTTAAAACAGAATACTCTTTTCAAAATTGAACCAAATGACTTGAGGTTTTTCGAGAAGCTATACAAATTAATTTACTAAGATATGTGCTTTTGTCGTTTTAAAAAATCACAATTTGTCGAAATCGGGAAATAAATAGTAAAAAGCGATTTTTTAACTTTTTTATTTGAGACTGTAAAGAAAATTTAAAATATCTCTTTCGTAGATTCAAACAAGTTATGTGTATGCTGAAAATTTCATCGAGACCGGTCAACGCGTTTAAAAGTTATAATTAATTAAAATTTCTGAAAAACGTCACTTTTCATCTAAAAACATGACTAGTTATGTTAATTAGATGAAAAATCGCGATCTTCGGAAACTTTAATTACTTGTAATTTCTATATTTTAAATTTTCATTATAGGCTCTCATAAAAAAGATGAAAAATTACTCTTCACTATTCTCTTTCACGATTTCAACAAATTGTAATTTTTTAAAACGACAAAAGCACATATCTTAGTAAATTAATTTGTATAACTTCTCAAAAAAACATCAAGTCATTTGGTCCAATTTAAAAAAAAGTATTCTATTTTAAAGAGTGACTTATGGACGGCAGTGTACATTGCTGATCACGTAAGCTTTTAACATTTTTCATCTTCACTGTTATTTCCCCTCTTTAAAGAAACTTTTTAGATTGTACCGTGCGAAAAAGATCTTTGTTTGGAGAGGAAGGCAATCAATGTTGTGAAACGATCGGCACAGCCGTGTGTTCCTTTTGTCCCTGCGGCGTGTAACAGTGAATCGCGCGAAATGGAGCGGACCAGCAGCCGCAGGAGAAACGAGTCGCGTCGTGTTACAGCGTAATGTAGAGGCGAAAACCCTTTTCGCCGTCCCAGGCGAAAAACTTTTCTCGTTATCCATCCATCCAGCGGGACTGGCCAGGCTAAAAATGCCCTGTAAATTACGGGAGCGTAGTTCGTCCGGAACGGCCACACGAACGACTTGTTTCGCGTCAACTCGTGCAAATCTTCTCGTACTACTCGCCGATTTCGTTTGTACTTTCTTTGAATTTCAAAACGATAGAAAAATCGAATTTATTTATCGCAAGCGTAGAGAAAGATATCGCGTTAACCCCGAATGTTTCGTTCGTGTCGGTTCGCTTTAAAGGAACGATTTGAAATTCAGAAATGGTAATGCTTTAACGCGTCGCCAGATCGTGGAAGGCAGCCTTTTAAATTTGCAGAAGTAGCCGGATAAAAGATCGATTGAAAGCTGCTCGATAACTCGCGGATACTTTCGCGAGAACGAAATTGGCTGTCCGGTTTCCGTCACGATACTGGATTGCCTGTAAAATCATTCAACGCCCATCGATCCTTCCCCCTTGTCGATATGAATATCTATTAAACGCAATTCACGTCTACCACCTGGCTGGCCGATTGTCGCAGTAAACGTCAGAACCGCGCCGTTTTTACCGCTTGATTGACGTTTCTCAAATGCGACACCGATATTTCGTTTCCAAATCGTCCGCAACGATATACAGGCTGTTCGACAACAGGTGGGAGATTTTTTAAGGGATGATTCTAAGGATCAAAATAAGACGAAAATCAAGAAATTAATTTTGTCCAGTAATTAACGTTTAAAAATTCGAGTAA